TATGAACAGATGAACAAGTACAGAAGCAGATAAAATTGCATAGATGAAAACTATGCATTTCAGATAGTTCAAGAACTCATAACATTAGATGTTCTAAAAATGGTAAAAGTCAAACGATTTTACTACTGGAAGTAAAATGAGCTGTTATGGTGACAACGAAGTACGTACTTGACCCAAAGTGTAAGCGATTTGTAAATGGTGGAAATAAGTACAGCTGTGTCAGCTTAAATGGTTTGTTGCCCTGATGGTGCACTTTCATATAGAGACTATTCAGTTTATATATTTCACATCAGTAATATCTGATCTTCAAAATCAGAGGTATGTCTGAGAGGCCGTGTACAGTTCTATTGACAGCTGCGATTTATTCATTTCAAACTGACATACTGCAAAAACAATGGTTTACATGTAAAAGAAAGGAAAAAAAGACTTCATCTTAGCAGGTTATAGGTAAGGGTTTGCTGAATTTAGTCATAAAAATATCATTTTTACTTTTGTACAAAAGTAAAATATACATTTGATCCCAATTACATTATAGAAATGTCACTGAAACAATAACATAGATCAAAGACTGATGCACCTAAAGGAACTGAATGCAAAGTCTTCATTTTATTCTAGAAACTGGAAATGCAAGATGATTTTTTTTTTATAACTTGTAGTGACATTTCCTAGAGCCTGTGAACGGGTGAAATATACAGAATTGCACAGATATTAACAGATACTTTGAGACAAATTTCAGTTAAGACCTCGGTTTCATTTTATTTCCTTTTAAAATATCAAAGCATGCTATGCCTTGACCTCACCGGTGGCGAGTTTGCCTGTACTGAGTGAAACAGTAGAACACCCTGAAGTTTCATTTTTGCAGATACGATTACTGACACCTTTAAGAATACTTGATAAGCATTTCAGGAAAAAATAAATTCTCTATACCTGATTAAGTAAAGCCAGAGCAACAGAAAACCGAAGAAGAAACTCAGCCTGAAATAAGTCCAACCAAAATTGAAATGTAGGTCCCTGGTTAAAGCATCTCAGAAAAGGAGCCTGTTTCAGACTTGCGATAGGCAGGTCTGGAACGAACTTGCCTTGTTGTCCAACTGCAAGGACAGCTTTCCAATTCCGTCCAGCTCTGTGGCTGGGGAAGGTAAAGCACACTTTGCAGGTAGTTCTGCATTTCTGCGAGTCTGACATGACTGTGACGATCAGTGGCATCAGGCTGCTGGAAGCCTACAGGATCAGACCATTCCTGGAAAAGCTGCAGTACTTCCCTCGTCTTCATGCTAGGGGAAATTAATTAATCCAGAATGGCACCCCTCTAAAAAGTTATCCAGCTAATATTTGGAAAGGAATATGTTCTCTCCATGTATTACATACATATGCAGAACATCTTCTTCTAAAATACAACTTGCCACCTTTTTCTAATAAAATTCAGATGTTCCTGTCCTAGTGCTTATTTTATTTCAGTTAATCTATGTGCATATAAGAAACTGCACTGTCCAAGTGTGAACTATGGAAAAGTGAAACTTGCCCTCAATTCCTTATACTTAAAAATAAGCAGGTTTTTATGTTACACTTGGGCTTCAGCTCTCTCATAAGAGAAGCAAACTTTCTGTACTTCTGGCTAATGAAAACATTTGTCTTTCCGTAAAAAATTTGTCTATAAAGGTTGCTACTGCTCCACTTGTTGATTTGGGCCAATGCAGCCTCTCATGATTCACGGATGATTTGCTAAGAAGGGTCTGATCCCTGAAATCTCTACTTGGGCAAAATCACTGCCGAAAATAAGAGGACTTTTGCTGAATTTTGTCCTGTCTCTAGTGCTTTGTACTGCCTTTCAGGTGCTTGTCCATGTGATCAACAGTACATCAGGTTAAGCATGTGCACAGTTAGAGACTTTTACGTGGAAATTAATTTCCTTAGGCCATGCTCATTGCCAACTTCCCACAAGGCAGTGGAACTGATTCTCCTCACACCTAATGTGTAAACCAGGAACAAAGGAAGGGAATCACTAGAATTGTTGCCAGGAACAATACACTAGCCCTCAGTAAGCCAGGCTGTGAATTGCCAGCATTCACCTATTAAGAGTTTTGTAGCACGTGGGCCACACTCTGCCCGACCACCCCTGCAAAGCTGTGTCAGTTCCATTACATGTAATGATTACTAAAGGCTTATCTATCTGAATGAACTTGTGAGGCAGATGAGGTAAACTGCATTAAGCCCCATTGTGTTCAGAATTAAAGCAGCCTTAATTCAATTCAGCATACTTCCCTTCCAAAAAGAATGACTCCAAATCAGATTAAGGTTGCTTTTATACTGCAACAGAATGTCCATGCTGGGCTTCAAAGCAGTTTAACAAATCTACTTTAAATGCACACCTTTTATTAATTCGGATTAGCTTTCCTGAATTCCCCAGTGGAGATAAGAGACTCCATGCAGGGAATCTGCATGGTTTTTGCTAGGATGCTGTGAACTCACACCCTGGCTTACTGCACACTAACTTCCTCGTGAAGACAAGTAAATCCAGTTCATTGTCCCTGCTGGAGGTGCCACACAGAGGATCTGAGCTCTTGGCAGTCTGACATCAACCTCTCAGATCTGTGAAAGAACGGGGTACAGAGCCTTTCATTTTCACCCTCCCCCTTGCTCCTCTGCCTGCTCCCTAGTGCTCTAGAGCTACGTGTGGTAGGACCAGATGGGGAATTTTGGCAACAGTACCAACCTATGAGGTTCCTGCCCACTGCCTCTCCACTTCATTCCTGCCTCTGCACTGCAGTGCATTGCTGCCTTGCTCACACCAGGCAAGCTCCCTCATCCCCTTCACTGAGTGGATGAAGAAAAAGCTGAATGGGGGCAACAAAGAACCACCGAGAGGCACAGAGAAGTTGCTGGTAAAGGAGGCTTCCTTATGCTGGAATAGCTGCCTTGCCTCACCAAACTACAGCCTGACTGACATATCTACTGGTTTCTCTGCTCAGCATAACACGGGCATCGCTTCTGGGAGATCCCTACCAAACCAATGAAGGTCTGAAGGTCTCTTGACTCTTTCCGAGATGGACTAAGCTGGCCATCAGCTCATTTCTGGTCCTCTTCCACTGACATAAATAACCTCATAGAGCTCATGTGTGGCAAAAAGAAACAGGCCAAAAGGGGGAGAAAAAGGGAACAAAAAACAAAAAAAAAAAAAACAAAAAAACAAAACAAAAAAAAAAAAAAAAAAACAAAACAAAACAAAAAAAAAAAAAAAAAAAAAAAAAGGACGCTTACTAGTAAGAACAGGCAGTTTGTTAAGTGCACCTTCAGGCCCACAAAGACATTTCAGCACTCCTGTGTAAAGGGAGTAAGAGCTTTTGTTGTTGTTGTTATTACTTTTTTTGTGTCAAACTTGTCAAAAACACATGCCTGCGCTACATAAGGTTAATTCCTGTACTCCATATGTATTGAGATCCTTTGCAGTGAGCTATAAATGGACAAAGCAATGTTCAGGCTCCCCAAATCACCCCGAGTCCTAATGATCCACCCTGATCTCCTGACAAAGAAGAATCGCTGCATGTAGCTCTCTTTACACATGCAGAATTATTATCATTCTGCTCATTAAATTAAGGTGTGCATACCAAACTGTGGCAGAAGTTACCAAAGTGAGGCCTCATCTTCCAGATGATACTTTCTGATCATCAGTCCCACAGCACTGAACTGGTTATTGCTGTTTAGTTTAGTCAGTTGGTTGTTTTATAAGCTGAGTGCAGCATTCAAGTCCATTTTGACATGAAAAGTCACATCCTCAGATTCAAGAGTTTGGGAAAATCAGGACCACTGGAATTAAATGGGGAGAGACGTGTGTACGATGGGCAGAGGCCTGAGCAGGGGACAGGAAGGAAGCTTTACAACATCTACCTAGAGGATGTAATGCCCTGTGTTATCTGATGCTTTGCATTTCTTGCAGGAGTTAGAGCTCCCTCAGTTCTTGATTGCTTTCTCATCGTTAAGATTCACAGAAGCCACACAATGAGAAATAAAGTCAAGTCTTTCTGGAAACCTGGCCGGTCAGGCTTGTGCGTAACTGCAGAGTTAGGGTTGGTTTTTAACTCTAAGTGCCTTGATTTTACATGTATGTGTGTGTGCATATGTGTGTGACACACACATGTGCAGACACAAAGATATATATTTATAAACATATATACACATATCAGAAAGATAGGGGGAGAAAGGATTTGTACAATGTGAAAGGAGAAGCGTTCAACAGCAGTTGGCCACATGCTAAGTACAGAATGAAGATCCTCAACTTTGTCCATTTAAAATATAAAAATTAGTGCCTACATTAATTCAGATCAAAGGTTATTATTTTCCAGGGCCTAGCAGCCAAGGCTGGCATATTGCAGAAGATACCTTCTCTTAATGTTGCTTCCCCCACCAGATGATGGATCTGTGATGGGATTTAAGATCTGACAGACTGCCAAAAGGGGACGGAGGAGGCAGGGATGGGAGGGCACTGGAAAGCCTCTCCCACCTACTTGCTGGAGAATCCAAGGGAAAGAAAAGCACAGCCCTGATGCCGCAGCTCATGCTGGTCCCTAGCTCCTCCTGCGTCCTGCAGTGCTGGGACAGGCGGCCAAAAAGCCATCTCAGGGAAAGGATGGGCAGATACAGTGATGGTAGCAATGCCTCTATAAACAACCTAGGGAAACTCAAAGTCTTCCACACAACCCTGAGATATTTGGCAGAAGCAACTGTTGAGCCCTGCAGCACCAGACTGGCTGAGGAAGGAAGGTACCCCACGGGCGCTGGGGGGCTCTGCCCATCTCTTCTGCATCCCTCTCACTCGCACTTGGCCTTTCTTTCTCTCTCTCTCTTTCTTTTCTTTTCTTTTCTTTTTCTTTCTTTCTTTTCTTTTCCTTTTTTCTTTCTCTCTCTCTCTCTTTTCTTTCCTTTTCTTTTTTATTTCTCTCTTTTCCTTTCTTTCCTTTCTCTCTTTTCCTTTCTTTCCTTTCTTTTTCTTTCTTTCCTTTATCTTTCCTTCTTTTCTTTCTTTTCTTTTCTTTATTTCTTTTCTCTACCCCATTCTCTGTGCCCAGAGGATGCACAGAACACTCCCGACAGTGTGCTGATAACTCGCCCTTTCCTTTGCTGTCTCTGATCAGTTCAGTTCCTGGAGGCACTTTCAGCAATTTAGGGGGATGTAAGATAAAGGCACTGCACAACTATCTAAATTAATCTGTTGAGTCTCTTCAATGAGTTTTAGGGGAATACAAAAAAGTCTCAATTAATGACCGCAAAAGAAACCAGCTGCTGCAATCTGGATGCATGTAATAGATAAGTTTCATTTACATTCTGAGAATGCACCAAAAAGCATGCATCTGCACCTTTCAACTATAAAGGATAGTAGGTTTTAGGTGTTGCTATATATAACTTGACTTCTTAATTTTCCATATAGCTTTCCCTTTAATGGATGGGATATGTCCCCTTCTGACAACGCCTGGACAAAAGCCAACACGTTTCCCTGAGTAGTGCAGGGAACAATCAGGTTTCTCTAATCACTTCATTCAGGCCCTCAGTCTATCAAGCACTTTTTTTAAATTTTGTTTTTATTGTTATTATTGTTATTATTATTAATAATTATTGAATTCATGCATTAATTAATTCAAGTTACACCTTAATCAAATAGGCCATAATGCTGAATATTTGAACATGCTTTGATCTCCAAAAGTTATTGTTCCCATTTGACTAACATACGCACTTAAATACAGTACTTTAAATTACTAGTCAATGATTTAATAAATTAAGGAGTGCACTTCTGGTGAATGCAAATCAAAAAGAAAAAGAACAGAGAAGAAAAAAGAAAAGAAAATAAAAGAAAAAAAGAGAGATAAAGGACCTATTTTTAGAAGATTCAGTTCAAACGAAAGCTTATCTGCTATTGTCTGAGGTAACGTTTCAGGCATGCGATTATAAAATAAATAGTATCAAATTCAAACATGCTTATATTAAACTCCATTGTGCTATCTCGCAACAGAGGGGCTTAAAGTTTTGTATCCAGTTCTGGACAGGGAAAAGGAAAAGGGTGTTTAAATCATCTGCATGTAAGAGAACTTAGCAGCATTGCAGATGTTTTGTCTTCAGTTTTGTTAGCTATTTTCCTTTTAGAATAGTTCTTCTATGGACAGCAAAAGAGACCAGGCTTAAGTATGTTTTTACTAAGGTGCTGTGTGGATCTGCAGATTAGAAGTATGTAATCTTTCACATAGGGGGCAGAAGGAAAATTGGCGCTCCTTCATAAAAACCATGGCAAATGTCTGCTGCAGGTTTTTGCTAATCTTTTTTTATTATTATTATTATCTGATGCACTTTCTTGCAACTGTGCAGTTTTGTTGAATATTTTTACTGGAATCCATGCATATGCTTTATAGCTCTAAAAACTGTCTTGCTTAGTTTAAGCTAACTTCATCCAAAAGGAGAGGGACATGGGGGAGGAAAAGTTTAGGTCTAGCGTCGTACAGCTTAAAACTAAACTAGGTTATCATTTACCAGGTGGAAAATGCTTTTTAAAAAATAAAGAAAATCTTATCTTTCATGGATCCTGGAAGCTTCTTTATCGCTGAGCAAAAATTCGCAATGCAACAATGCATTTACGAGGTAAATAAAGCATTCAAAGACTATCAGTAAAGCATCTACAAAGTGTGACCGTGTCACTAAAGTCTTCGAGCTGTGAGTGGGGATTTTGGTTTTTTTGTTTACACATCAGTCAGCAGCTTGCTTTTATTAACGCAGTTTTGGTTGGCTACAGTGCAGTTGCCAGTTCTGAGATTAGCCTCTCTAAAATTGTCTATGCTATTATTCATATCCTCTTCGATTTCCATGTACTCAGATTTGCTGATTGTGGAGGAGCTGCGGCGACTGAGATCACTGTCAGATGCTAAATTAGGGGAGCTAACGTGAAGTAACTGAGCCTGTTCTTCCCCTTCTGTTTCTCGGTGGTAGAAGTAGTTGAAGTTGGACACGATGACAGGTACAGGCAGGGCAATTGTCAGCACACCAGCGATGGCACACAAGGAGCCTACGATTTTGCCTCCAATTGTCACAGGGTACATGTCACCATAGCCCACAGTGGTCATGGATACCACCGCCCACCAGAAAGCATCGGGGATACTTGTGAAATGAGACTCAGGTTCTTCAGCCTCAGCAAAATATACCGCACTAGAGAACAAGATCACCCCAATGAAGAGGAAGAAGATTAGTAAACCTAGCTCTCTCATACTTGCTTTGAGGGTCTGTCCCAAAATCTGGAGGCCCTTAGAGTGCCGGGAGAGTTTGAAGATTCGAAAGACTCTTACCAGTCTGATGACTCTCAGGATGGCCAAGGAGGTGGCCTGCTCTCCTTTCTGAGTGCCCTCCCGCTCAGCCATCTCGGTGCCCAGGGTGATGAAGTAAGGGATGATGGCCACAATGTCAATGAAGTTCATGATATTCTTGAAGAATTCAGTCTTGCTGGGGCAAGCAAAGAAGCGCACCACCAGCTCAAAGGAGAACCAGATGATGCATAGGGTCTCCACAACAAAGAAGGGATCTGTGAAGATGTTGGATTTGTAGACCTGGGTGGTGTTGTCAGTGCGATGCACTGTATACTCCTTGTCCTCCTTCAGCTCAGGTAATGTCTCTAGGCAGAAGATCACGATGGAGATGAGTATCACCATGACGGAGACTATTGCAATGACCCTTGCAGGCCCAGAGCTCTCTGGGTATTCAAAGAGGAGCCATACTTGGCGCTGGTACTCCCCCTCCGGCAAAGGTCTCTCCTCATCTTTGATGAATCCTTCATCTTCCCGGAACTTCTCCATGGCCTCCTCACCCAGCTCATAAAATTTGATCTCCTCAGAGAACATGTCCAAGGGCACATTGACCGGCCGGCGGAGCCGTCCCCCAGACTGATAGTAGTAGAGGATGGCATCAAAACTGGGCCGATTCCGGTCAAAGAAGTACTCGTTGCGCAAGGGGTCAAAGTACCGCATGCGCTTCTTGGGGTTGCCCAGCAGAGTGTTGGGGAACTGGGCTAAGGTCTTCAGCTGCGTCTCAAAGCGGAGTCCAGCAATGTTTATCACTACGCGCTCACAGCACTCATGGTCATCGTGGGCAGCGGGCTGGTAGCTATCCTGGGGGTGGCCAGGTAGCGCAGAAGTCTCATCCATGTTCTCTCCAGCCATCACTGTCATGGTGGCACACAGGAAGGGGCACCCAGGGGCAGGGGAGGAGAAGCGAGGGAGAGGGACTTGAGATGGGGGAGGAGGAGGATGGAGGAGAGGAGAAAGCCCCAGGGCAGTTTGGGATGGGGGAAGGGGGGGGGGGGGGGGGGGGGGAAGAGGGAGAGGGAGGCTCAGAGTCTGCAGGGAGAGATGATGATTCGGGTTGGAGAGCTTGAGGAAAGGGTGGACGAGAAGCCTTAAAGGATGGAAATATCCAAAAGGGGAAAGGAGAGGTGGGATGAAAGGAGAGGCATCAGGGATGCTGGGAGGGTGAAGAAAGAGGGGAGAAGTACCTTTAGGGGGGGAAGAGGGCAGGTAAGGTGAGGGGTCCTGTTCCCCAAGCCAGGAGGCTGAAGGTCTTATGGAGTGCACCCCCAGGCTGGGGTCCCCTCCCCAGCCGTCTCCTTTTGCCTTTAACTCGATCCGTCCACTTTTCTCGCCGACTCGACCATCGCCGTAGCTGCTGTCACGAAGTTACCACACACACACACACACATATATACACACACACACACACACGCACACGCACACAAATAAATAAATAAATAGATAAATAAATAAATCACGGGGCGGCTGGGAGGAGAGTCCTTGCAATGCCAACTCAGCAAATTTCCATCGCCTACCCCCCCACACACTGCCCCGATCCTCTCCTCCTGTGCGCTGGGGAGGGAGGGATGGTGAGAGGCTCTGCTTTTGAAGGCACAAAGCTCACTCGCAGGCTGGAGGCTGCCGGGGAGGAGAGAAACATAATAAACCAGCCCCCCAAGCCCCACGGCACACACACGCTCAGGCGCAGTAGATTGGCTTTCACACCAGCAAGAACATCCCGCTCTGCCCACTACGGCAGCACATGCAGAGCCCTACGCATTCCCACTCGTGCCCGGCCACGCGCCGGGGCCTCCGTGGCAGGAAGGGGCCGATGTGGACCCCACGGTGCCCTGAGCGCGTCGGGAGGGCTCCCCAGGCAACTTCAGTGGGGTCGGCTCCTGCGTTAAGTCTCCTGACGGCTGCGCCTCCCGCTTCACAGACAGTGGAGGCTTAGCTGAGCCCTGACAAACTTCATCACACTAAATTGGGGGGATTAGGGGAGGGGGAGCAAAGCATCTCGTCTCTTGCTTTGCAGCAGCTAAACACAACTGAGAGAGAGAGAGAGAGAGAGACGAGGGGAGGGAGCTCGACATCTCGGACCCAAACTGTCCAAAATAGAGGCGAACAGCATGGGGGGAGAAGGGACTTTTCCTTACCTGCTCCGAGTGAGATGCGCTGGTTAGGAGTAGCAGCCAGTGCCGGAATGCGTCAAGTCGCCTTGCAGCAGCATCCAAAAAAACCAAACCAAAACAAAAACCGCAGCGGCAAACTCAACCCTCCTCCTCCTCCTCTTGCCCCCCTCTTAATAACACAGCGATCGCTTTACAGGGCTGCCGGCGAGACACTGAAATATTCATACATTGTCTTAGGCTTCACCAAGGGCGAGTGGGTTTAATTAGTTTCCGCCGAGAACCGCAGTGGGGGGTGGGGGTAAAGAGTGCAAAGTGCCCTTTTCAAATGGCTTGAGTTAGGTGAATAAAATTGAAAAGGAGTCCTAGATAGCCGCCGGCTCTCCTGCTCTCCTCCTTTAAGATAGCTGGAAAAGGAGCCGGGAGCGCGGCAGCGGCGGCTGGGGGGATGTAAGAGAGCCGCAGTCCTGCAGCTGCATCCCCGGCGTCGGTCTTGGCTCGTCCCGGCAGCAGCAGCAGCAGCAGCAGCAGGAGGAGGAGGAGGAGGAGGAGGAGGAGGAGGAGGAGGAGGAGGAGGCAGGAGCTGGACGCGCGTGGCAGGAGCGAGAGGGCTGCTGCATGCATAAGCGCAAGGAGCAAACTCGAGCCATTTCTCGACGCTGCAGTATCAGCAGAAACCCGAGAGCTGTTTGGTGCAGCTCGGGGAGCGGGAGGGCGGGGGACGGGACCAGAGGGAGGAGGGGAGGCACGCTGCGTTTCCCCCCCCCCCCCCCCCCCCCCCCCAAGCCGGGGGCCGGCCGCCCCCGCCCCCCGCAATGCAGGCGGCGGGACACGGCGCTGCCCCGGCCCGCAGAGCGGGGCTGGCGGGGGGGGGGGGGGCGAGCGGTTCTGCGGGGAAAGGGGAAGCGGGGGGGGGGGCACAAGGGGCCCGGGCAGGAGGGGCGGCGGCGAGCGGGGCGTCGCTTTTCCCCCTGCCCTACACCCCCACCCCCACCCCCCCCCGGCTCTCCCCGCCGCCGTTACCCGCGGAGGGGGCACACCCCCCCCCCCCCCCGCCCGCAGCGCCGTGCTGCAGCCCCGGCGGGCGGCACCGGGGACCCCGCGGTGCGGGACCCGACCGGACCGGGAGCGGGACCGGCTCAACCCCGGGCTCCTCGGTGCTGCTGCCGCCCCCGGCCCGCCGGGAGGGACCGGGCTGCGCAGCCGGAGCCTCCTGGGCAGAGCGGCGGGGGCTGGGTCCCGGGCAGGGTGCCTGAAGTTGGGAGGGAAGAGTTAATCGGCAGGCAGCGTATTACAGGGAAATTGCCCTTTCATGCTGCTTTATCCCACTGAATTCATTTAATTGATGAATCACATAACTTCGAGATGGAGAAGACCCATTATGTCATCAGCTTCCCTCCCCTGCCAGTGCAGGATTCTTCCCTACAGTATATGATCGTGTACATTATATAAAAGCCTGCTGCTCACTTTGTCAAGGCGGTAGAGGTGATCAAATACAACCTGGGCCTGTGTAATTTGAAGCACTTGAGAGCTAAGTAACACCAAGTGCGTGTTTAACAGACGTAGTCTCATTAGCTTTCCACTGCATAATACATTATTTTCGCGTAAGATCACCACCTTGGCAGTCAAAAAATACTTAACCACCTGAACTCATGGACAGTTTCTGTCTCTTCTTCCCTTCCCCTTCTTTTTTCTCATGCTTTGTTGTTTTGGGGTGGGGATTTTTTGTTAGAGTACAAACCATTCTAAAATCCTGTAGCCTTAACTGTGCTGTAATCACTGATGCTTTTCATGCTGTATTCACCAGCCCTGGTGGAATCAAAAGTGCAAAGAAAAAGAAACAGATTTTTTGTCTAGCATGGTACAAGCTTTTTTTTTTTTTTTTTTTTTTTTTTTTTTCCTGAGTGTCACATATGCTGAAAGTTCTGTGAGAAACTTCTGTTGAAGTTCTGAGCAAGAGAAAAGTCTCTGCCACTGCCAGGCAAAGCAATCAAAACATTTAAATAGAGAGTCCTCTCCTAGTGAAAATCACAGTCAGTAATTTTCTGACAGTTCGGCAGCTCAGCACCAGCACCCAGTCTTGGACCCAACAGCCCCAGACCCTGCACAGACTAAACTCCCCCCAAAAAAGAAAGGCAGCCCCGTTGCCTAAACTAACCAGGCTGGTTCTCAACCTTTCAAGAAACTCAGCTACAGCCTTTGACTCAACGTCCTCTTATGGCAGTGAATTCCACGCCTGGATGACACGCTGCACAGAGCTGACTGCAAAGTATTCAGCGAGCTCTGCATTCAGTGCGCTTGCGACCGCTTTGCAGAAATAGCTCTGCGAGCCAGCACTCACCCGCCTCTGGTGCAGTATTATATCCCCCTGTACCAGTTCAAAGACAAATACATACGCTCAGGAGTGTGATGAAAACACAGATCTGACAATCAGAGGCCTGAGTTCAAGGTGCTGTTCTGCCCTTGCTTTCTCGTGTGAGTGCAGGCAAGTCTATACGTTCTGCTTTTATATCTGAAAAATAGGACTAAAAGCATTTCCCTTGCCTGCCACAACTGCTTAGGCTGTTTGTTCCTGAGGGCTGTCTTAGCACAGCAGAACGCAAATCCTCATCGGAAACTGTGGGTACACCAGTAGCAGAGGGAAACAAACAAAAAAAAAAAAAGTAATAGTGCTCTTTGTTTTTACATTGCAAGGTAGCAAAAGGACAAATTGTGATATTGCTACCCCCCTCCTCATTTTTAATAGCTTTCAACTCTGCGATTTCTCATTCCAATCTAACTAACATTACTGACAAGCACCTATGATGCTGGAAAGTAGATATCTTTCTAAGAAAAGTGGACTGTTAGCCATAGGGTCACTGAAAATGTTTTTAAGGTATGGAGACTAGTGAGCAGGAAAAACGGGGCTTGCAAAGAGGTCATATGTTACACATTACAGTGCTAAGTAGCTTGAATTAAATGTTGAGGGATGGAAGGATTTGAAGTCATGCTGCTGCTATTTCATACTTTCAGTATTACAGAAAATGGCCACCAGCATGTGGACTGGTAATCTCCACCAAGAGCCAAACTGAGCAGGAACAAAAGTTTTCACGTGGAAACTACAAGTTCCAAACCAGCAAAAGCCCAGCTTGGTGTGATGGTAGGTCTGGTGGTACAATGCAAACGGTGTTGGCCTTCTCCAAGAGCCGTTCACTATGAGAAACACGTCTGCTGGAGCTCCAGCATGGAAAGTGCCTCCAGCCTGGTGTGGTTGTGCGGCTGAGCACAAGCAGGTGGGGAAGCAGCAGACAATCTGGGTTGCACAGGTGGAGGAGCTTCGCTGGCATCTTAGACGGCTGCTGATGTAACTTTTCATAGGCAACCAGAACAGAGAGACTCCTTGTGTCAAAGGTCAGGACAGCAAAAGCAGAACCATTTCTGCAAGTTCAGAGTCTTGCCTGATAGAGAAATACGCAGGTTCCTGTGTTTCAGTCTAGCAAATGAAAGATTTCCCCTGGAGAGAAAGAACAGAATTTTTATTTTTTATTTTTTTTTTAAAGAGAAAGAATCGAGTTGTGGATTAAAGCTCAGTGTATTGTAATGATTAAAGAAAAACTGTATCGAAGGACTGTGAATCTGAAGCTGCATTAAAAAATTGCTGTTGGTTCCCTTGGCTTTAAGCACTGTCACCGGGGAACCTGAAAACGACTGATAGAGGTCAACGACCACAGAAGCAGAGTGGATTGCCCAGCGTGATGTCATTCATGTAGGTATCATAAGTGACTCTCAGCTGCTAAATTCCCTTGACATGAAGAGACGGTTCGTGTGATAGAAACCATTGCAAAATCCGAAGTGGCAGGTGTTGTCCTGGTTGTTTGAACCTTCTGGATCTTCATAGGCATCGTAGCCCCAATTCATCCAAGCCTGGAAAATGACCTAGTAACGTTATAGAGCCATTTAGAGCTGCGTAAACCCACACATGAGTTGTGCAGGTGTCACCACAAACATCATTTAGGAGCCTTGGAGACAGAGGATGCTATGCATGAAGGGAGCTGTTTGGCCTAAATTTGCTTTGCAGAGTCTCTGAGTTGTAATGGTGTATGAGATGGAAAGAGTCGACAGATAGAATCAAAGGTGAGCTTGTGGTGTTGGCAGTTGGCTTTTTATTCATTGAGGGGTGATAAAGGATCTTTTACAAGGTTCTGATCTTTTAAAAGGTTTTTATCTTTTAATACTGATTTATGAGCCTTGTTACTATCCTGCAGTATTAGGCATTGTTATGACTGGGGTAATCAAATCTCATGCTTCAAAGCATACTGATAGCTGATGGGAGATGACAATGACTTCAGTTCCCTCTTGTTATATCATTTCATTGTTTTTCCAGCTCCTTTTTAAAGCCTTATATATCGGCCCTCTATGATCAAAAGAGGCAATAAGTAGATCTAGTCCTGTTGCTACAGAGAGGGAAGATGAGAGCTTGGGAGTGCATCTGTGTGAAGGAGGAAGCAGAAACTGCCCTCACTCGCATGACAGTTTTGCTGCTAGGACCAACCTGGAGAGAAAAGATGCTGCTGCCTTGCTGCTTTTTATCCCACATCAGGGGATTGGATATGGGCAAAGTGTGGCACTAAGGATGGCTGGGCAGGGGAGAGCAGAAAATGTGCTGTATTAGGAAAGGGTTGAGCCTGCTTTTGTCCTCCTTCAAAGCAGCTGTATAATTAGATGACATGGAAGGGCAAAGTGCTAATCCACCCCACAGTGCCCAAGCTACGCTACAGAAAATACCAAACTCTTATGGGCATGTACCCATGGGAGGAACACAGTTCTACATGAAGTGTATTTAAAAATGCTTAGCAACAATATTTTAATGGGTTTAATATCACTTCATCCTTCTCTGACCTCCTTTCCTGGTCCTAGATTTTCTTTCTCCGAGTTTTGTCCAACTGGCTGCTTACTGTTGGGAGAGCCCCCTGCTCAGACAGGCTTGTCTGGCCTGTGAAAGGAAGAGTGTGTGTTTTATTGAGACCTATGCACCGAGTCTTTGAAGATAATTTCTGTTTCCCATTTTGCGCACTGGGAACAGCAACTGGAGAAGAAGTCCTGAATGACTTAGCAACAGCTGCTTCTTTCTGTGATTACCTGAGCATACCCAGGTATTTAATACACATGACTTCTTTCTTAACAGTACCCACTTGTGGCTTCCCATTATTGTGCTACTTAGTATGAGACCTTTTACAAGCACTGGAGCAAGAACTTTGTTCGTGAACGCTGCTGGCTACGTGGTATAGAGACCAGAGAGTGAACTTCCCCATGTCACTAGGGGTGAGCATCACACAAAGCACTGCCGTCGGAGAAGGGGAACACCTGAGGAGAATGAACAACACCATAGCAAGTACATTCCTGTAAAACCAAAAAACACTTCTGGCGGTGGGTCCTTGTAATACGTAACCAATAAGTCAACTTTGAGAACACTGAAGTTCCTCCTGTGTGAGATCATTTGCAGGATGACTCCAGCATACAGGAAAGACACTTCAACAAACCTAACAGATATCTAAAGAAGGCTCCCCTCATATGGAATTTCTGCTTGAACTGCCCAGGAAATAATCAGAAAGTGGGAGGCCTTACAGCACAGGTCTTGTTATGAAACCCCACGCTTGGGGCTGAAGACAGAATGGTGATGAATACAAGCATCATCATTTAGTTGAGTTTT